TGTCTTGGTAAGTTTGAACTCCTGGACATGTTCAGTGGAAGAACTGATGTCAGCTGCATTGATGGATGACCTTGGACAAGGAGGAACGAGAGGTATAGACTGGGAAGGGGGTGGGTAACCATGTTTCTTGAAACATTTCTCCTCAGTATGCCCTATACGTTTGCAAAAGGTGCATTCATGAGGTTTATAGGAAGGATTGGAGGAAGTAGTGGATCCCCTTGGAGTGAAACCTGGTGGCCAACCATGCTTGTGATAGCATGTTTCTTTAGTGTGGCCAGGTGTGTTGCAGAATGTGCAATGAGGACATTTGCCAGGAGGGAATGGGCGTTTGAAGCCCTGAGCAGCAAAGCCTGAAGATTCAGCTGTAATCATTTTGCCCTGTTGACTACCAAAGAGCTGTCTCTCATGTTGAAGAGCACGTTGAAAGACCCTATCGATTGGGGGTAATGTATCTCCAAAGAGGACTTGAGATCTCACAATGGCAAAATTATCATTCAGGCCACGAAGAAACTGAATAACGGAATTGACTGCTTTGTAGCCAAGAACAGCATTCACAGAAACACAGGTGGTGTGACTGTTGTTGGTGCATCGACAGGGATCTATAGGTTGATAATTGCCGAGTTCATCTTGTAAGGCAATGAGGTTTCCATAGTATTCAGTCACAGTTTGATTACCTTGCTTGATTGTGCCAATAGATTCGATGAGCTCTGCAACTCGAATCATGTCTCCTTGGCCATAGCGGGATTTGAGGCTTAGCCAGGCTTTAGAGGCGAGTTTGCAAGACATGATGGTTTTCTTGATGAGAGGGTCGACTGCTTGTTGAATCCAGCTGAGGACCATGACATTGTTGCGTGTTCAAGAAGAAAAGGTAGCATATGTTGTAGCAGGGGCGACGATTACGCCATTGATGAAGTCAAGTTTGTTCTTGGCGGCTAATGCGTTGAGCATAGCCTTACTCCAGTCATTGTAGTTGGTTGTGGTCAGCTTCTCACCTACCAGCAGCAACCCTGGTTGATCTGAACCATGTACATAAAAGGGATCCGCCATTGGATCCATGTTTGGAGGTGCTTCTTGAGTTGCCATTTGTGAGGCAGCGGCTAGGGTTGCTCTGATACCATAACACCAAGTTTGGAGTGTAAAACCCTAACTTGATTTCTCATTCATCATCTCACGGGTTTTATACAAAGACCAGAGGTTGAAGACAAGTTTCAGTGAGATGTCCATTACAACAAAAGGAAAAGGAAAAACAGAGTTCTGAGCAACCAAAGCACACGAAGATGAAAGTGACATTCCGTCTCTCAGTCACAACGACGGCGTATTGAGCTTCTGCTTCCCTTTGTCTTGAGACGACGTCGTTGGTCTTGACACACTTGCCTTTCCTGAAACGATGTCGGACCAGCTAGCCCTGCAAGTAGCCGTTGCAATTGAAAGTGGCTTTTGGGGATTTTCATCTGATAAAAGAGTAGGGGAAGAACGAAAGTGCTTCGTTCTCACCTGCTTAGGGCTCAACGCCGATTACATGAAATTCGGCATGGTCTTCGGCCGGATTGAAGGACATCGTCAAACCCGGCAGGGTCCTCGATCTTTGGGGATTTTTTTTGGTTTTTTTCCAAACATTTGGGGTTACAATATAAAGATAAAAAAAAAATTAAGTAAATTATAACTTGACTTCTATGTGGCAAGTTTGGTCGAGGACGTCTGCATCGAGGTGGCATCCTAGTCAGCATAATGTTAACCTAATTGACGGAATCTCTAACATCGTTAAAATTTGTCACACAACCATCCAAATTTTCTGGTTATTTTGTATATTTCTCAAAAAGTGGCTATAATTGACATAAACACGAAATTTATGGCTATACAAATGTATTTTACCACAATCTTATGGTCAATAATTTGCTACATCACTTCACATCGCAATCTATGGAATTGAAGATCTCTAAACATTTCTTCTATAAATTGTAATGGGGTATATCTATTTTGTTTTAAAGTGTAATTTAAATTTTTTCCAGATATTAATCAACTAACTTTTGTTCTTCAAAATAATATTCACTTTGATGTATTTTTGGGACCAAAAAATTGAGACATTTGGTACCACTCTATACTATGGTTGTAATGTTTGGTTCTGCATAAAATCATACCATGTGGTACTACGTGGTATGAACAAACCAGAGTGAATAATGATCGAATACATAATAGTTTGAATATGCGAACTATTATTTACTACATTCGTCATTGTGTACCACGAGTTACCACCCATATATCAGGGTGGTATGGAGTGGACGTTTTGGTCCTGTATTTTTTTCTATAAATTTGTAGATCCAATAAATCACGAAAATTTCGTTCCATCTATGCAAAAAATTTCAAACTTCAAGTTAAAAAAAATGAATGTGGTACCAAATGGTAATGAGTGGTATTAGTGATATGAAGAATTTTTTGTATCGAAATATATTGAAAATGGATCTCATCATATAGATCACAAAAAACTCGTTCCATTTGTGCAAAAAAAAAATTAAAATCCAAGTTAGAACGAAAATAATAAGCTCTTCCAATTCTCTCTAAGTTTTGACGATCTTGTAATGGCGGCCTCGCCGCCGGAGACTGCCTCGACCAGTGAGGGTAGTTCTTGGGCGCATCTATTCGCACTGGCTCCGGAGAACAGACTTCACTAATTGTCCACCATAACGAATTAATGATGGGTTCAGAATCCCTAAAGGGGTCGTTTGGATTAGTGTTTCTAATGAGGGATTTGAGCACAATCCCTCACAATGAGAGATTTTAATTAAAATCACTCGTTTGGGAAATAATTTTTCGATTAGAGATTTTAAACATTCAGAATTCCAGAAACTCACATTTGTGGGATTGTGAAATAGCTGATGACCACCAGCTATTTTGAAATCCCTCAATATTTTGCCAAGTTATTCCATATATGCCCATACTATTTTTCTGAAAATCCAACTCTACCCTTCTTCTATTAACCCTTTGTAACTCTGCATCTCCTTCGATTCTGTCTCTCTGTCGCATCTGTGGATGCGAGCGTATGTTCTACTCCTACCCAAACGAAGCAGCTCGAAGACGAGGGAGTGGCTGCCGCCGAGTGCTGACCGGCGGCGACTCAGCTTCGCGGCGTAGGAAATCTGCGGCGACCAAACATTCTTCCATCTGGTGAGTTTGCGCCTCGGAACCATCATTCTCCGTTCTTCCTCCTTCGCTCCTCTCGAGTTCTGGGTTTATTATAGCTTGATTGTGGTTGGTTGCCGAAGTATAGCAGAGGTACCAACAAATCGTTTCTCGTCTCGTGGTTGCTTGATTCTGTGTTTATACTTTATAGATTGGTTGTCGTTGCTTCTCCGATTTGTTTGTGGCGGCAACATAGTAGTACTCGATTTTGGTTTATTTCAGAGTTAAATGGAAACAAATGCAATATTGTCGCTGTTCCTTTTCATGGCAATAGACAAATAAATGAACAAAAATGCAGTCTTGCTACTGCTTCTTTTCATGGCAGACAGTATAAGGACAGATAAATGGAAACAGTACAGTCTTGATGCTGCTTCTTGCTACTGCTAAATGGAAACAAATTCATAAACAACACATGCAAAGGAAGAAAGCTCCAGCAAGGAGAGTGAAGTGTGTAATGGCGGAGAAGAAACAGGATACGTGTAGATATATATATTTAAGGGTAAATTTGTGACTTTACATTTTCATTATAAAATCTCACGTTTGTTGCCAAACAAGTAAGTTGGTGAAAATCTCACTCAATTCTCTCGAATTAAAAACCTGGGTTTTACAAATGAGTGATTTGATCTTGGGGTCGTTTGCTTGTTGGATTTGGGTCATGGATTTGGTACTTAAATCCCAAGTTTGATGGATTTAATATAAGTCCATTGTTTGTTGAAAGGTGCTAAATCCGTGGGGTCCACGGATTTGGTCTTTATTTTGGAACCAAATCCGTGGACCCCACGGACTTGTAAATCCCACATATTGATTTGGGATTTGCAAATCCTTGATGATTAGTTATTTATTCAACAAATCCATTACAAATCCATCATCAAATCTATCATGCAAACATTAGACTCTTCAAATCCATAATCCAATAAATTTAACATAAATCCCAAGGTTTTTGTTGGCCAAAACCCTCATTTTTCAAATCCAACAAGCAAACTTAAATTCCTCATAAATCACTCATATTAAATTTCCTAATCTAAACCACCCAAAGAGGTCCAGGAAAATGGGCGATTCGTTGGAAGAATAGCCTCATTGGGCAGTTTGTGGGCGATGTTCCCTGTCTACCCGATTTGCTGAGCTTGTAGGAAACCATTAATGCATTGATGGTTTCCAACTGTAAACCAACTTCAGCCTTCATCAATGGTCTGCCTCCATCAAGCTTGCAGTCACCCATATTGTCCAGCAGCGACCCATGACTCCCATGTGCTCCAGTTGCACTCCAGACAACAGCTGCCATCGTCCATACCTCACCCATGCTCTGCTCCAACAACTAAACAGCAACTCTTATCTTTACAGCTTTTATGGTTGTTCTTCTTCTTTGTATAAATAGAGTAGAAACCCATTGTAACAATCAAGCTTTCCATCAATAAAATCATATCAACCAAATTCATCATGGTATCAGAGCTGGAATAAGATTCCAGTGAGGGAAAGCCCAAGAAGAAGAAAAGGAAGAAACAAATCTGTTGAGAGTTTTTCATACCTTTCTTCCAAATCTCTATTCTTTTGTTCTTAAAGTTTCCGCTAGAAAGTTCTGTGTCTGTGTTTTTATTTCCAGCCATGAGTGAACATTCACCAGGCTGGTCTTCTTCCATAATCACCACATTCACTTTCTCATGACATTGCTTTAAGACTGAGTTGTCGCCTCCGAGCCACCAGTCAATCATGCTTCCGCCATTAGTCCCTTCATTTACAGTCACGAGCAGGCCTTCTCCAGGCTGCTCTTCTTCCATTTCCAGCTTCCACAAATCCACCATCTCCGACGATTTTATCATCAAACTATGATGGCGGTAGTGGGTTCACATCAACCTCAGTCACCAGCCAAGCCGCAGTCTAAAGTCGTCGGAGTTATATATGGATCGTCAATCATCTCAGCCATCCCGATTCCTGAAGTCCAGGCCATTATCAAGATGAATGGATCCTGCACTCTCAGACTTAATGGCCATCGATCGACCGAGCACCCGCTGCGTCACTCGTCAAAGTCGTCGCCCACGTTTGCTATCATCAGCAGTCGACCTTCCCACTCGCCGGTTCAAAATTGTCGGCTAGATGACGTCGTCACCGATGTCGAATCCAGATCGCGGCATCGTCACCAGTCGTCGTCGCGCGGGTTCACCGCCGCCTCTAGATCTCCACCGCCCATCATCGTCGGCCAAATTAGAGGAGTCGAGAGTCAAACAAGGCGTCCGAGTCAAAGTCGGTTGAATCGTCGCCTCCCGCTCAGATCGAGCTCCGCCCTCAACCATAGTCTCTGCCTCTCTCCCGCAACTGCCGTTGGCGCTCTCCAAAGCCCACGTCGCGACAAGACTGGTCGTGATGATTTAAAAAAAAAAAACTGAGGAGGTGCGGCGGCAACACAAGAAGCGGAATGGTTATCCCCATCCAAGATTAGGAACGGCAGAGAGGAAGAAGGGTTACCAAAACCCTATTGAGGCCAACCTCTTTCACTACCATGAGTTGGGCCGCTCACCCATTTGCAGAGCCCAGCAAACAAGGCTTTGCCAAATAAATTAAAAAAAGGAATTGGCCCATTTCATTGAGTTTTGGCCCAATTTTAAGAGTCAGAATATTGCCTTGTCTTTGGCAATCCGAATTAGTCCCCTAGATCAACAGAGTTGATTAGTCATGATTGGTTCTTTTGTCCCACTTTCAGGTTAAGACAAGTTCCATTTGCAGGTAAGAAAGCAAATCATCACCAACAATGTCATGGCAGTAAAGATAGATACGACCCAAGTGTTAGATCGTCCCTTCAATAGTCAGTGTTGGAGATCAAGAGAGCTTATGTATGCAATGATTGTCAAACCATTGTGCGAGGTTTCTCCGATCAGGTTGTTACCTTGACGATTTTAGACGGTTATCCGATCCAAGAAGAGATCGGCCCCTCGGCATTCAAAAGGAAATACAACCCAAGAAAAGATCGGCCCCTCAGCTTCACGAGGCACTCTCGATCAGATCGTTCCCATGGCGTTTTTAGACGGTTGTACGATCCAAGAAGAGATCGTCCCCTCGGCGCTTCAAATGGAAGAAACGATCCTAGAAAAGATCGACCCCTCGGTGTTTATTATTGGGCTAAGACCAATTATTCATCACCTTTCAACCTGGGCATTCACGATGTTCATGCTCCAGCTTGAGGGGGAGAATAGGGAATCAACACAGACTAGTCGATCGATTCAATCATCTGGTCGACCAGTTCATTCATCAGATCGATCACAATGTTAAAATGTGTCGATCTATCTATCAAATTACACGGAGAGCCTCATTCAGCAGTCTCCAACATCAACCTCGTCCAAGATTTCCAAAAGGCAGTTACGACCAAGCATGGTCGTCCCTTCTTCATTCTACACATTTCCTTTTCAAGCTTGACATTCTCTACATTCATGTCTTCGCTTGACGGGGAGTGTAGGAAACCATTAATGCATTGATGGTTTCCAACTGTAAACCAACTTCAGCCTTCATCAATGGTCTGCCTCCATCAAGCTTGCAGTCACCCATATTGTCCAGCAGCGACCCATGACTCCCATGTGCTCCAGTTGCACTCCAGACAACAGCTGCCATCGTCCATACCTCACCCATGCTCTGCTCCAACAACTAAACAGCAGCTCTTATCTTTACAGCTTTTATGGTTGTTCTTCTTCTTTGTATAAATAGAGTAGAAACCCATTGTAACAATCAAGCTTTCCATCAATAAAATCATATCAACCAAATTCATCAGAGCTAGGCTACTCGTTTATGGGGAAGAGAAATGCGATTCGGGTCTACCGATTTGTGTCGCGACAGTTAGCGTTTCAGTTCCCATCGCTAAGCACGAGTGATTGGGGTTTTAGATCGGGTCCATCGCACTTTCACGGGAACCCTATCTTCTTCCAAAAATGGAGTCCTGGGATCCAGCCGGTTGAATCTAAGGTAGATTCTCTTCCCATATGGGTCCTTTTTTCTGGGATTCCTCTGCAATACAATTCCCTGGAGGGTTTAGAGTGCGTGGTGAGTACAGTGGGGGTTCCCCTTCATATGGATAGGTCTACTCGCGTTGGTGCACAGCTGGGTGTTGCTTGAGCTTGTCTAGAGATGGATGCGGGTTCTGGGTTCCCTAGTTTGATCCGTCTGTATCCTGAAGAGGAGTCTGATTTTGAGGCGAGTGTGGCGTATAGTCATATGCCTCCTATTTGTTCGAAATGCGAGATGTTTGGCCATAATTGCAACAACAATCGGTATGATGGTAAGGTCTTGGTTAGGAAAGCTAAGGCCAGTAAGAAGTTAGAAGAGGGTAAACCTAAAAGAAGGAGGTGGTTTATGCAAGTATGGATAAGGGGAAAGCGATTGTAGTGGAGGCTGAGGTTGATGCTTCATCTTCTGAGACTGGTGGTATGGAAAATATGTTCAAATTATTTAGTTACGAAGAGCAGGATCAGGGGATGGTTGCTACTTTGCCTTCTGCCATAGGTCCAGTAATGAGCTTTGCGGAGGTGATGTTTGGGTCACCTGCAAGTGCAGGGAGCTCTTGACTTCCTTTACAGCTGGATGGGGGTGAGTTAGTGGTCCACCAGACTGGGAGCTCTCTCCATCAGGCACCTATTACTGACCAAAATGAGATAGCTGCTGATGACAAGGAGTTTTCTCCGGTTAAGAAGAAAGGCAGGGGAGGTGGAAAAGGTGGTGGTGGGGGTCGTGGTAGGCTGAAAAGATTAACACTATGTTCATGAAGGAAGGGAGGAAAAGGAGGGGAGGGTAGGAAAATTTGGAGGGGAGGTTAAGTTTGGAAGGGAGGGAAATTAGAGGGAATTGGAAAGAAAATGTTGTTTAATGGAGGAAAGTGGAAGGGAAAAAGTAGATTGGGAATTGTGATATGTATTATATTTTATTGATGATAGAATAGTTAAATAATTTAATTATGTGTTTATACTATTTACATTAATTATGTAAGGTGGATCAAATTTGTTCTTCTTTGTTAATTATTAAATTGGTCAATGATGTCTATATAGGTGAACTTAATTATTAAACTAATTAATCTAGTTTTGGAAAAAAAACCAATATAAAATTAAGGTGAGGCCGTGAAACAGAAAGAGTGGTTTAATTGATTAAGTTAATTAATTATTAAAATAATTAAATAAGCATTGAAGTAAAAAAAAAAAAAGTAAACTCACGTCCCTCCTTCTTTCCCTCCAATTCGGAGAGTTGAGTTCTACAGTGAAAAGGAAGGAAAGTTTTCCGTTCCTTTCTTTTCCCTCCTCCTTAAAAAACAGGGTGATACATCTCGGGAATGGTGTTTTCCATTCAATCCTTCACTTCCCCTCCCTTTCCCTCTTAAATGAACATAGTGTAAGATAAATTATTTCCACTAACGCCGATCACTGTAGCGCAAGACACGTTTTACTGGTCATACAGACTCAATTTTACTATTCACTTGCTTCTGATTGGTTGGCTGCTTGGCATGGGCCCTGATGTTGTCCAGAGGAGTTGCTGGTTGCTTGGCCGCCGGTTTCCAGCTCCTTTACGCCTTTCTTTTGTTTGTAGGGGTCTTCGAGTTTCGCGCCGGCCTCAAATCCAGTGTACTTTTCACATTTGGTCTTATTAGTGATGATGGGAAGGTTTGGGAGGAGTGCTGCAGTGGTCATCGGGTCCCAAGAGGTTTCTCGGATACTACGATCCTTCGCAGAGAAGTTGGTCGAGAGGAGAGAGGGTCAGAGCCTCAGAGGCAAATTAGAAACCTCTCTTCATTTCACTGCACACTCTCTTCCTTCTCTCTCATCCTTCTTTGCTCATCAGTCTCTCATTTCTCTCGCTTTGTTTGTTGCAGAGATGCTGGAAATGGGAATCAAGTGTCTTTGGATTCTCTGGTGAGGAGGCGTGGATACATCTCTTCCTCTTCTCTCTCTATCTCAACTCTATGGTCGTTGCCAGCAGTCAATTACTCACCGCGAACCCGTTGTTGGCATTAGTTTCGCAGAATCGTTCACTCACCGAGAACCTGCCGATGATAATCATTCTTCTTCGTCGGTGCGGCCAGACACTGGAGAGCCTATTACATCCCCGGCGGCTACGATTCTCGCAAGAATCTCTCTTTCTCTTCTCTCAACTTTGCCGGATCGGGTGGGTTCTGTAATTTCTTTTTGAGCAAAGAGAGTTTCTTACGAGAATGATCTTTACCCATCTCTCCGTCCCTCAAATCTTTATTTCCTCTTTATTTTAATATTCATCCTGCGTGGAGGAAGTTCTGGACCCAGATCTGTGAGGGTGTTTTTCCTTGAAGAATCATAAAGGGAATTATTACAATAGTTTGTCTTTCTCCTTCTCACTTTCAGATTCTTTACTTGGTGAGCGACCGTTGGGCGACTGCAAGTTGAAGTCGTCGGCATGAAGTGGCCAGTAATCGATCGACCTCGAAAACAACTTGATCAACCCAATCCGTCCGGGATAGCCTCGATCCAGGTAAGATCTAGGCATGCATGTCTCTTTTCTTTTGTTATCTGTATTTTTCTTAATTTTAATTGAGTTTCTGTTTTGGGGTGCTGGAGGAAAGGGGAAAGCGAGAGGTCGCCGACGACATCCTCGCCGACAATCTACTATGGGGAATACGGTTGCTTTAGGTGAGCCTTTGTTTGGGGTTCATTCCTCTTCTCTTTTTTACTTCAATTGTTTCTGAATGTTTTTCTTTCTTTTAAATCATGAGATCAATCGCCTGATAACCGGCAAGCAACCGCCGAAGTCAATGATTCTCTGCACTTTTACTTGCCGAGCTCGGTGGCCAACCGCCAGCTTAAGTCGAGGTGATCATGGGACCAATCGGTGAACTCTCAATCTCTTAAGTTTCCTTTTCGCTTCTATTTTTGCATCGATGGTGCCTTAGTCGTGTTGTTCCTGATGTTTTATCAAATCCCTAGAGATTTACCATTTTGCTTAAGCCGAAGCCTGTATAAATTGACAGGTGCCATTGGGTATGCTTGCTAGGTTTTTCACGATGAGTTTGAACGAAGGTGCTCGATTCGGAAATCATCAAGAATCCTTCTCCGATGTATGATAGATTTGGAACAATGATCCGGATAGGATGCGAGGATGACCCAGATCGGCCTATGAATTCAGGTGGTTATTTATTCTCTTTGTCCCTATTGAGCTGCTTTGGTCTGGTATGTTTGGTGGGTTGCGGGATTTGACATTGGAGATTGTTTGATGGGTTTTATAGATCTGAAAGGTGGTTCTGCGACCTCAACAAAGGGGTTGACGAGATAAGGAGCATCAGGTTATAATCTTCCTCTCTGGTTCTTTCACTGTACTCTGTTTCGATGGACTAATTCTCTCTTTCTTTCTTTCTCATAAGGGTCGTTTGATCTCTTTTCAGATTTTATTCAAATACTATAGACTCTCCGAAGAAGGGAAGGACCCGAGCTCTGCATCAGATTTGATTCATTTCAGCTGCGAGACTCCCTTTGGTAAGTCATTCTTTGGATGCTGTTGATTTGTTCGGTTCAAGTACTTCTATGAGTTGGAGGTAATTTCATTTTCCTTTGATGGATCAGAGTTCATTGATTTGTCTTCTTCTCTTCCATCCGCTTCTTGAGTGGAACTCTAGGTTACCAATGGGATTTGAGGGGTGCATAGAGGAGATTCGGAGAAGAGGCAGACTTGTATGTTTTACAATTGGTTTGTTCCGTATGTTTTCTGAGATGTGTTTGTTGACTCTTCCTTACTCTTTAGTTTTGATTGATAAACTCTTAGGAGTAGATGCAGGTGTCAAGTTTACTTGACAGCAGCTAAGAAGAAGAAGAAGTTCTCTGTTCTGGAATTGAAGAACAAAACGAAGGAAGAAGAACAGAGCAAAACGGCAGCGTTCAAGACAAAGAAGATGAAGCAGAGTGAAACGGTGATTTGCAGAATAAGTGGCACACAAAACGCAGCACTTCATCAACGGACTGACTTTCATAATTCACTGTAGTTAGGCTACATGTACAGCTTAGATAGGTCAATTTGTTTGTTAGTTTTGATAGCCGTTAAGTTACAGTGATTAGTGTAAATCTCTGTATATATACTGTTGTTTCATCAATGGAAAAGCTCAGAGAGCAAATTCCCCAGATCTGGACTTTCTTCTCACATTGTGTAGTAAGTTCAATTTTATCATGAAGAACGACTTTGTAGTGTGGGTAAGATGTAGTTCTAATTCTTTAAAACTTTCATTACTTATAGTCATGGATATGAATTATCTTGATGATAGAAATGGTGGGTTCTGTTGCTGTTTGTTTGTGGTCTTATTTGGTAATAACAATTTGTCAGCAAATGGAAGTGAAGATGTTGTCAAGAGAAGTTTAGACTTGCTTAGATAATAGTCTTGCTAGGATGCTTCTATATTTCTCCTCACCGATATGAAAGCTAATACAAGGAAATTTAAATTTTTTAGAAAGAGCTCCTATATTGTATGGTAAAGAATGTTTTCAGCCTTCCAATTAATCCATCAATGATTATTCAGCTTCGTATGTATGTGTGACTGTGACCTTTTTGTGATTATCCTTAAATTGCAACAAATCGGGTGATTACCTAGCAATGACTGTAAACAAGAGCGAAAGATCAATGCTTGACAAAGTTGGTATCCATTTACCAGAATCAATGTTTAGCCATGGTTACCTATAGGTGGAACCGTGGAAGTTTCAAGGGTAAGAACTAATGCTCGCTTACTTTTGGTGTATAAACCGGCCAATAACTCATGGTTCATCCAGATTCAGAATGCATTCATGTCCTGTATTTTGAGTAACTGTGCTCTTGAACATTCAAATGTTCCACGTGGTCTCCGCAACAACTCCAAAATAAAACAGATCCCGCCGCGGAGCGCGGGCTGATTACTAGTTAACATTTAACTTGGAATATATGGGGATTTTGTGAAGATAGTAAGTTTACAGCAGTAAATAAAGTCATTAGATAGAATAATATACATATAGCAGCTATTTTAGAACACCGGGTTAGAGCTAGCAAAGCAGATAAGTTGTTGGTGAAGCGTTTCCCTGACTGGGAATAAAAAAATTAGTTATGATGGTAAGGGGCTTGGTAAAATCTGGCTCCTATGGAGAAATGAGGTGGCTCTATCTGTTAAGGAGTGGTCTGCACAGTTTATACACGTTTGGGTGAATGATGATGTCCCGTTTGGTGTGACATTTTGTTTCTATCGGTTTGATAATTGGGGATTTAGGGATTTGAAGAATAGAATTACGGATTAAGAGGTAGAATTTGGGGAAGAACAAGAAAGAACGGCTGGCGGCCGGATTAGGGAAATGAGAGAAATTGAGAGGATTTGGGAGAGAATAGGGTTTAAGGATTTTCTTAATATGCTTCTTATTGATTCTGAATGGAAACCCAAAGTACACATATATAGGAAATAGTGGAAAACCCTAACAATAAACCTAATTCTATTAAATGACTACTAACCTTATTGATAATTACCCTAATAATAATACCCCCATTTTCATTTTCTTAACCTTAAGCCCCCTCCTTAAAAAAAGGCTTTGAATGCGTGTTAGCATTCGCAAAAGCACTGTCCCTTTTTATGTCCTATAATATTTTAGACACTTGCTCAATACCTGTGCTTACCTCCACATATTGCAAAACGGAAGGAGAACTCACTGTCCAAATGGAGGGACAGGGGATCGGGGATACAGAAAACGGTTTCTAACATCTCCTCCCCCTTCAGACCAACCTTGCCCTCAAGGTTGAACCACTTGACCCACTCTTTCTTCCTTCTCGCGCACTCTGTACGCTGACTCCATTTCTTGCGCTTCCGTTTCTTCCAATCGTGCTCCAACTCTGATATTGAACTTCTTGCCTTGTCAGCTCCTGTGAATCGACTCCCTTCCTCCAAGTCCTCGAAAGCTAGCCCAACTCCCATCATTTTCTCACACACCAAGGTAGTCTTTTGACTACTCGAGCTCATCCATGGCCCAATTCCCCTGCTAAAATTTGACCCGACCAATAAATAAGCTCCAACAGAGTCTTCGATCTCCTTCTCTGTCTTCTCCTTCCTCGTCGTGTCGTCCTCCCTCATTGGCATCTTCCTCCTCGTCTCTGCTGGCAAGCCTTCGACCAGCCCTACATAAGGCAAACTCGACCAGTGGCACCCCACCTCCGCCTTGCCATCTGTCGGAGCTGCTTCCTCAACATCCAACAACAACTCTTCCTCATCCGCGACGCTTGCTACTTCGGTCTCCTCGACGTCGTAGTCCGCCGCGGCTCTTGTCGCTGACGGGCGCTCGTCGGCCTTGCCAGCCTCTGCGGTTGATGGCTGCCTCGCCGTCACGACGTCACCTCCATCCTTCAAGTCTGCCGTCCCGCGACGCAACTCGTAGGCCTTCCAATATTCCACTATATTCCGTAGTTTTTCCTTCTTTTGAGCCCACGACAGCTCCGAAGGTTTTGGTGACCATGTTGTCTCGGGTCCCTGCTCCCCAGACTTCGCGTCGCGCTCGGCCAGCTGCGGAGGTAGTTCTCCGTCAGTCTCCTTGGACATCGCTTCCTCCTGCGTGATCGGTAGCTCCTCGGGGATCCAACGATGTCCGATGCGGCGGGCCTGTTCCCGCAGTTCCGCCCATGACAGGTTCGAGAGCCTTGAAGAGCTCATCGTCGAACTAGTTGTAGAACTCGTCCCCGGTTGAGAGTTGTGAAAAAACTCAATTCTCGAAACCGGGCTCTCATACCAAATGTTAGAAACAAAGTTTTAACGGTTTGATAATTGGGGATTTAGGGATTTGAAGAATAGAATTACGGATTAAGAGGTAGAATTTGGGGAAGAACAAGAAAGAACGGCCGGCGGCCGGATTAGGGAAAGGAGAGAAATTGAGAGGATTTGGGGGAGAATAGGGTTTAAGAATTTTCTTAATATGCTTCTTATTGATTATGAATGGAAACCCAAAGTACACATATATAGGAAATAGGGGAAAACCCTAACAATAAACCTAATTCTATTAAATGACTACTAACCTTATTGATAATTATCCTAATAATAATTATATTAATAAATAGAGAAACCCTACAGAAATCGGTTTCTGACACTTTTATGTATGCTTCTAATGCCGAGTCGGATAGAGTTAAGACGTATGCGGATCTTAGGAGATGTAAGATTGTTTCGATGCCCTGGCTTATCTTAGGAGACTTCAACGCTATTAGAAATCCATCTAAAGTGTCGAATGACCCTGGGTTCACTAGCAACATGGCTGATTTCAGTAGTTGGATTCTTGATTTGGAGCTTGAGGAACACAAATTTGTTGGTCCCTGGTTTTCCTGGATGAACAAACAGTCGAGGAACCGTATATCTTGAAGTTTGGATCATAGTTTTGCTACTCTGTCTTGGCTGGATAAAATCCCTCACAGTAGAATGAAGTTGATGGATCATGATGTCTCGGATCACTTTTCTATAGTGATTCAAACAAAGGAGTCGTTGAAATCTCTTCCCAAACCTTTTAAGTTTTTCAAATTTTGGATATCTCATCCAAAGTATGAGGAACTGCTAAAGGAGACTTGGTCTACAAATGTTGTTGGTTCTCCGATCATACAGTTTTGCAAGAAGCAGAGGGTGTTTAAAGGGTTTCTCAAGAAGTTAAATAGAGAAGAGTACTCATATTTATAGGAGAGAGTATGAGTAGTTGAGGGCAGGCTAGGGCTGGTGCAGAGGGAGGCTTTGGAGAATCCATCTTTTTATACTTTCCTTGTTGATCAAGTTGTTTTAAAAGAAGAAAATGAACGGAGACAAGCTGAGGAGTGCTTCCTTAGGCAGAAATCGAGAGATTTGGTTGGGTGGGGGTGTAATTCAAACACAAGTTACTTCCACAGTTCAGTCAGAACCCGCACTAACCACAATACAGTTAGTTCTCTTGTGGATAATGTTTCATTGTACATCAGTGATATAAAATGTTTCATTGTACATCAGTGATATAAAATCAAATCTTAACTATAATTAAGTGGGCTCTTACACACAATTGCTAACACATGCAAAAAATAAAACACTCTAATCAAATGGAAACCGAATCAGGGTCTATAGCATATCACTTGGAGGCTGGTCCAGCAACCTGCAAAAAGAAAGTAAATAAAATCATATCCAAATCAAGACCCAGTTCATGCCTATGAGTTTAAGCTCATCCGAAGCCAAGGTCAACTCTGGTCGACCCGGTCAACTCTGGTTGACCCATCATCCTTATTCTTATCCACAGGGATAACAGAAAATTACTCCCACCTCTTAAAAGAAGCAATTCAGCCACCTCCTACAAAAACCAACCAGAAATTTCCATCACAATGGGTGGATCAGGCCACCACTTCAAGATCTAATGAGGATTAGCCATTACGAAAGAAGGAACAGTAAAAGTTTATGATATAAGGGGTTTTCTAGTTTTCTTGCCCCAAACGGTGGAGGGGGAGAAAAAACAGAGGGTTTGAGGAAAGTAACTCTGGGAATTGGGAAGAGCATCAAGACACTAAAGAAGCAGACAAAAGGCAATAAGAAGCACTAAGGGGGCAGAGACAACAAGAAGCCATCGCCATCAAACACCACCACCAAACGACAAAGAAGCTAGGTTGGTGCTTCCTCATCCCAACAGTCGCACAAGCATATATTCATCCATACATCCATGTATTGTATATAATGAAGTCCTTACTTCATAATCCATAGTTAGGGTTCTCAAATCTATGTATGAAATAGGCCTTAATAAATTTTGACTGTTTTGTTGTGTATGTCTTCGTGCTCAATTTTAAATCTAGGGCTAATACCACTACAACACCTAAATATGAACAAAATGCCACTTGTGTCCTATTCTTTTCAATATTCCATTTATATCCTGAACTATTTTTCCATTAGAGCTGACTGGCGTTAACCGTTAGGATTTAACAGAAATT